CATCACGGAGCTGGTGGATGTTAGAGACCTTGCGCTCCTCCAACTTCCATTTGAGGATGCCCCACAGATGCTCAATAGGGTTTAGGTCTGGAGACATGCTTGGCCAGTCCATCACCTTTACCCTCAGCTTCTTTAGCAAGGCAGTGGTGGTCTTGGAGGTGTGTTTTTTTGTTGGAATACTGCCCTGCGGCCCAGTCTATGAAGGGAGGGGATCATGCTCTGCTTCAGTATGTCACAGTACATGTTGGCATTCATGGTTCCCTCAATGAACTGTAGCCCCCCAGTGCCGGCAGCACTCATGCAGCCCCAGACCATGACACTCCCACCACCATGCTTGACTGTAGGCAAGACACACTTGTCTTTGTCCTCACCTGGTTGCCGTTTCACACGCTTGACACCATCTGAACAAATCAGTTTATCTTGGTGTCATCGACCACAGGACATGGTTCCCGTAATCCATGTCCTTAGTCTGCTTGTCTTCAGCAAACTGTTTGCGGCTTTCTTGTGCATCATCTTTAGATGAGGCTTCTTCTGGGACGACATCCATGCAGACCAATTTGATGCAGTGTGCGGCGTATGGTCTGAACACTGGGGTCATTATGTTGGAATACTGCCCTGCGGCACAGTCTCTGAAGGGAGGGGATCATGCTCTGCTTCAGTATGTCACAGTACATGTTGGCATCATTCATGGTTCCCTCAATGAATTGTAGCTCCCCAGTGCCGGCAGCACTCATGAAGCCCCAGACCATGACACTCCATGCTTGACTGTAGGCAGGACACACTTGTCTTTGTACTCCTCACCTGGTTGCCGCCCACACACGCCTGACACCATCTGAACCAAATCAGTTTACCTTGGTGTCATCAGACCACCGACGACGTGGTTTAAGAAAAGAAAAAAACAGGGGAAAGAGAATCCACTGGTGTAGAGCTCCTAATGAGAACAAACAGAGACTAGAAAAAAATTGATTTATTAACTAGATCAGAATAACACAAATCAAAAGCAGACAACCTCCACCTAACATAGACAAATTCATTGAAATGACAACATTGTCATGCAAAAGACAAGCCACGTTCCGGGATCCCGGCCCCACTGACATGCACACATACACGCACAGAAAGGTCAATCTACAAAAAGTAGAATAATATCAGATTATGGATAGAGCAATGCAGATGAGATAACGGGGATCAGGTCAAAAAAAAGAGAAAGTGAGTGGACAAAATGAAGCAGAATGTAGAAACAACAGGTACAGCAATATCCATACACAGCAATGGCCCTAGATAGAGATATAGACTGATCGAATCTCTTAATTCATATCAATCAATAATAACTATGAAGGATCATCCAATCAGGTGCCATATGTGAAGGTCCAGCGGTGATACATAAGGGGAAGAGTGCACAGAGGAGCAAGTTATGTGTTACCCCCACTAATTGGGGAGATGCTTTGTTTGGCCTGTGTCCACATCAGGACCATGCGAGAAGGTGAGAGTCCACCCGGAAGTCTATGTTCACTGTGGTGATTCATGTGTATTGAAGATTTACAGCACTGGGATTTTGGGTGCAATCACCAGCCGGAAGATTTTTCACTTATTTGGATTTTTTTTGAAGAATTGCATTTATTTTTTGTTTTATCACCTTTTGGGACTATCAGTCACATTTTTGTTTGTATATTTACATGTATTGATTTATGCTAGCAGAGCGACACTCATTTGTTGTAGTCTGTTTTGTATGTTCATAACACGTGTTTGCAGCAGCTGCTCTATTATTATTTTCATTATTTGGCAGCGCATGATTTTCTTCTGCTTTTTTTTTTTTTTTTTTTTTTAAGCTTTAACGTGCTCAGTTGGACACTGATAGGAGTCAGAAGACTGCTATATACTGCTGATGAGAAAAGGCATTTAGCAGTTTGTTTACTAAAATAATTGCATTTCCATGTTGTGTGTACTGTGGGAGACCGGATATAGGGAATGCAGGGTCCGGGGAGACCAGATATAGTGAATGCAGGGTCCGGGGAGACCAGGTATAGTGAATGCAGGGTCCGAGGGGGAGGACCAGGTATGGTGAATGCAGGGTCCGGGGGAGGACCAGGTATGGTGAATGCAGGGTCCGGGGGGAGGACCAGGTATGGTGAATGCAGGGTCCGGGGGAGGACCAGGTATGGTGAATGCAGGGTCCGGGGAGGACCAGGTATGGTGAATGCAGGGTCCGGGGGAGGACCAGGTATGGTGAATGCAGGGTCCGGGGGAGGACCAGGTATGGTGAATGCAGGGTCCGGGGAGGACCAGGTATGGTGAATGCAGGGTCCGGGGGGGGGACCAGGTATGGTGAATGCAGGGTCCGGGGGGGGGCCAGGTATGGTGAATGCAGGGTCCGGGGGGGGGGGCCAGGTATGGTGAAATGCAGGGTCCGGCAGGGGGGGGGGGGGCCAGGTATGGTGAATGCAGGGTCCGGGGGGGGGGGCCAGGTATGGTGAATGCAGGGTCCGGGGGGGGGGGGCCAGGTATGGTGAATGCAGGGTCCGGGGGGGGGGGGGGGCCAGGTATGGTGAATGCAGGGTCCGGGGGGGGGGGGCCAGGTATGGTGAATGCAGGGTCCGGGGGGGGGGCCAGGTATGGTGAATGCAGGGTCCGGGGAGGGACCAGGTATGGTGAATGCAGGGTCCGGGGGAGGACCAGGTATGGTGAATGCAGGGTCCTGGGATTTGTACACTGTAAAGCTTGCTGCTGGTCCTTTGTTATTTAAAAAAAAAAAAAAATACCTGTTCTGTGTAATGGTTTCGCACAGAGCAGCCCCAATCCTCCTTTTCACTCCCTCCTGGCTCCCCCCGCCCCCCCCCCCTGGCTTGCTATGGGGTCACTGGTGCAAGCTCACTCCCGAGCCCCGCTTTAAGCATCCATAGCACACACAAAGCCATGGTTCAACCCCGCCCCCACTCTTCTCATTGGCTCACTGGCTGTGATTGACAGCAGTTGGAGCCAACGGCTACCGCTGCTGTGTGTCAGCCAATGAGGAGAGAGAGTGGGCTCAGGTGAGTATGCGGGGGGGGGAGCAGCACACAGATGTGTGTGGGTTTTTTTTTTTTCTTTTCTAACCTTCATACAACAGCCAATGAGAGTATCTCGCAAACTGACCATGTAATTTGATGGGGCAATTGAATTTTTTTTTTTAAGTCGAAATCACAAAACCATCGGTGACCTAAATCTACCATTTTGATCGGACGCAAGAAGATGGGATCAAAATTACCCTGATCACATGAAGTGGGGAAAAGTGCTGATGATAAAACTGCTGTCATGTTGTTTTTCAGTATCATTTTCATTTGATCCTTGAGAAAATGCATCGCAGCATTACTGCCCTGCCCCTGCTTACCGAGCACAGAAGGTCACCTGCTGGGCATGGGCACCTTTTACAGAACACTTTGCATTTAAAATACTACGGACCACAAATAATGAAGCTGGACGTGATTTTATTGCTATTAATCGTAATGCTTGAGGGCCATTTATTGCTACATAGCTAGATGTGCCTACTTTTTATTTTACTTTTCTTACAATATACAGTATTAGAAATGAAAGGTAAATTGATATGTTAAAAAATAAGTGGTTAATAAATAGCCTGAAAAGAAAGCTCTGTCTTAACCACTTGCCCTCCTGATTTACCACCCCTCCCTGATGAGGCCATTTTTTGTGTTACAGCGTTGCGTTAATTTAACTGACAATTGCACAGTCATGCAGCGCTGCACCCAAATTAAATTTACATCCTTTTTTTTTTTTTTTTTCCCCCATGAATTGAGCTTTCCTTCGGTGGTATTTGATTGCCTGTGTGTTTTTTATTTTTTGTGCTATTAAAAAAAAAAAAAAAAAAAGTGATAATTTTGAGAAAAAAAAAACAATATTTTTGACTTTTTGCTATTAAACATGTCCTGTACGAAAAAATTAAAAAAATCAAGTTTCGCCATAAATGTAGCCCAAAATGTATTCTGCTACATGTCTTTGCTGAAAAAAAAATCCCAATACGTGTAAATTAATTGGTTTACATGTAAGTTATAGTGTTTACAAAGGGCGATATAGATAATGGGCTTTTTTTTTTTTTTTTTTTTTTTCTACTAGTAATGGCTGCGATCAGCAACTTTCAGCGGGACTGCGGCGGACATTCTGACACTGGGGGGGAACTGACTTGGTGTCCCTGACATCCCCAGTGACACCAATACAGTGCTCAGTACTAAAAAAAAAAAAAAATGGCACTGGGCAGGAAGGGGTTACCATGAGGGCGATCAAAGGGTTAACTGTGTGCTGGGAGTGTTTTACTAGGGGGCGGCGTGTTTGTGCTTCACTGTAAGCACACTGCTCTATGCACAGCCATCCAGAGCAGTGTGCCTGAGGTGACAGGGAGGAGGACTATTAGAAAACAAAACAGTCCTCTTCCCCGTCGGAGATGCTCGGTAACCACTGGCCGGGACCCGGTGATTGACAGCAGTGGCTACTAAGGGCGGTGCACCCCCTATGTGGAGATGCAAAATCATGTCTCTCTCTCTCTCTCTGTGTGTGTGTGTGTGTGTGTGTGTGTGTGTGTGTGTGTGTGTGTGTGTGTGTGTGTGTATATATATATATATGTGTGTGATTTTGCGCACCCCTGCCACCCTGTAGCAGTATATCTGCTGTAGGGTGGCGGGGGAGCTGTTAAAAATGGTGTAAAATGCATTTGTGTACTATGTTCATGGCAGAGTAATTGTCAGTCTAAGTATCACAACACTGAAAAATATTCTGGTAATGAAGGGGGTGTAACATGCTGGTACTGATGGGTTGTATTCCTGTCTAGATCCATCAAAGCCGAATGTTTACATTTACAATGATCAGCCTTGATGAATTGTGTGGGGGAAAAGCCATCCTATAGTCTATGTAACCATTCAGTCTTCATATATATATAATCCTCTTCTCTTAGATGTTGTCTTTTTATGTTTTGTGTGAGTTGTATGTATTTTATTGTTTTTAATGTTTTCTTCTTTGCAGTTTGCCAAAGCCCAGACACATCATCTCTCAGCCCACCCCTCGGACGTTCCCTCAGCGACACCCCGCCTCCTCCCAGTGCGCCTCTCCATCCTTCCATGATTGGATCTGCTATGACTTCTTCGGTGAACTCTCCGCTCGGAAGCTTGGGCTCCCCGTTTCCTGTTATCAACCCCTCGATGTCCCCTGGAATCCCAGGCACTCCTTCTATAGGATACGGACCTGTCAGCAGCCCTCAGGTAATTAGTTTCACTGGCGGATTTCATTTTACCTGCACATAAAGATTAAATGGATCAGTTAGTCCACCTAAAACTGGGATTTTATTTCCTAAATTACCTGATGCTTTGTGGCATGGGAGAAAAAAAAAAAAAAACCACAATGTCTTGGTATGCTGACGTCTTATGATTTCCTTTCACTGGAACTAGGGGGCCAAGCCCAACCCCCCCTGAAAAACAACCCCACACCATAATCCCCCCTCCACCAAACTACACTTGGCACAATGCAGTCAGGCAAGTACCGTTCTCCTGGCAACCGCCAAACCCAGACACGTCCATCGAATTGCCAGACAGATAATTGTGATTCGTCATTCCAGAGAACACGTCTCCATTGCTCTAGAGTCCAGTGGCGGCGTGCTTTACACCATGGCATCCGAAGCTTTGCATTGCACTTGGTGATGTAAGGGTTAGATGCAGCTGCTCGGCCATGGAAACCCATTCCATGAAGCTCTCTACACACTGTGGTTGTGCTAATCTGAAGGCCACACCAAGTTTGGAGGTCTTTAGCTATTGACTCTGCAGACAGTTGGGGACTTCTGCGCACTGTCATGCGCTGACCCCGCTTGTCATTTTACGTGGCCTACCACTTGGCTGAGTTGCTGTTGTTTTCAGTTGCTTCCACTTTGTTATAATCCCACTAACAGTTGAGCGTGGAATATTTAGTAGCCAGGAAATGTCACGGATGGACTTATTGCACAGGTGACCACCTATCACGGGACCACGCTTGAATTCACTGAGCTCCTGAGAGCGACCCATTCTTTCACCAATGTTTGTAGAAGCAGTCTGCATGCCTAGGTGATGATTTTATACACCTGTGTTCATGGAGGTGATTGGAACACCTGAATCCAATTATTTGGAGGGCGGTCCAATACTTTTGCCTATATAGTGTATGTATGGGTGTGGCAGATGCTGCAAACTGTTCAATTCTGTGCATTTTTTTTTTTCAATTGTTTGCTTGTTTTTGTCCTCTGTTTATATCAAATGGTGCCGCGATTGTGTGGATCGCAGCACCTATCAGCACTTTGTGGACAGCAAACGTCAAAGTGAAATTCCAGCTTTTTTTTTTTTCTTCATTTACCCCCTTTTTTTTTTTTTTTTTTTTTTGTCTTCTTATTACACTGTCCAGCCTCACCCCCCCCCCTCCCCCCCCCCTCCCCCATGCATGTCATTATGTCATTCGCCTAGGCGAATGACATGCACTGCTCCTCCATTTGCTTGTATTGTGCATATCCCAGGAGGCAAAGCCATTCTATTCAGTAAAGATGGAGGGTGCGGACCTAGCGGGGCATCATCGGGAGGTGTGTCAGCTGAACTGCAAGAAGTGAAGAGGATCTCAGCCAGACAAAGCTTTATCCGCTGGGTGGGTGAGTATCTAGAATGTGCAGAACCCACCACCAGGTAAGTAGGGGTTTAAATAAATAAAAAAAAAAAAAAAAATGATGGGGGTGGAAATACGCTTTAACTAGTTTACTAGTTAAAAATGTTCCCTCCTAACACCTGTGTTGACTGACCTGTGTAGAAGAGCATGTATTTATTTTCAGCCTGCTAGGGTACATGTATGTGATCTGCCTTCTCTGTGTCAGCCAGCAGCAGCTGCAGGGGAGAGGAGGGAGTGGGGAGTATCAACAGCAGATGGGCTATGGGTGACATCACCACTCCAGGCTTTATCAGCTGTTGTCAAGCTCGTTCTCCTCTCCCCTGCAGCCGCCAATGGTTGACATACAGTCATGGCCAAAAATATTGGCACCCCTGCATTTCTGTCAGATAATTCACCACTTGCCCCGGAAAATTGTTGCAATTACAAATGTTTAGGCATTCTCATCTTTATTCCTTTTGTTTGTATTGGTATTACACAAAAATGTGGAGAAACAAAAAGCCAAATCTGACACATTTCACGCCAAACTCCAAAAATGGACTGGAGAAAATTATTGACCTCCTCAATTTTAATATTTGGTAACAAAATCAATCTCTTTCTGTACCCATCAAGAGTTTCTTCCACCTCTCTACTGGAATTTTGGACCACTCTTCTTTCGTCAATTGCTCCAGGTCTCTGATTGGAAGGGTTCCTTTTCCGAACTGCTGATTTGAGATCTCTCCACAGGAGCTCTATGGGATTGAGCTTTGGACTCATTGCTGGCCAGTTCAGTACTTTCCAGCGCTTTGTCTGAAACCATTTCTTGGTGCTTTCTGATGTGTGATCTGGGTCATTGTCCTGCTGTAAGACCCATGACTTCTGATGGAGACCAAACTTTGACACTGGGCCCTTCCCTGCACCCCAGAATTCTTTGGTAGACTTCAGATTTCATAATGCCATGCGCACGGTCAAGACATCCAGTGCCTGAAGCAGCAAAGCAACCTCAAAACATCAGTGAACCTCCACCATGTGTGACTGTAGGGACTGTATTATTTTTTTTAAAAGGCCTCATTGCTTTTTCTGAAAACAATAGAATGATGAGCTTTACCAAAAGGCTGTAATTTTGTTTTGTCTGTCCACAGCACAATCTTCCAGAAGGATTTTGGCTTCCTCAGGTAAGTTCTGGCAAACTCCAATCTGGCCTCTTTATGTTTCTGTGTCAGCATTGGGGTCCTCCTGGGTCTCCTACCATAGCGTCCCTTTTCAGTCAGATGGCGATGTATAGTGTGAGCTGACAGAGTTGTACCCTGGGCCTGAAGGTCAGCTTGAATTTGTCTGGAAGTTGATCGAGGTTCTTTAGCCACCATTCGACCAAACCTTTGGTGCAATTTTTGATCAGTTTTTCTCTTTTGTCCATGCCCAGTGAAATTGGCTACAGTGCCATGGGCTGTAAACTTCTTGACAATGTTGCGCACAGTGAACACAAGAACATTATCTGGAGATGGACTTGTAACCTTGAGATTGTCCATGCTTTTCAACAATTTTTTTCTTAAATCCTCAGACAATTCTTTGCTGCTTTCTCTCTTCTCCATGCTCCATGTGGCTCCCAGAATGCAAGTGTACAATCCAAACGCACACATTCCTACGTTAAAAATGGCTATGTGTATAAGTGGATGCTGCAGCAACTGTCGGCTGGAACCGAACAGAATCAGCAATGGAGAATGTCACCAGCACACTGAGGATCACCAATATGGGCCCAAAAGTTTTAATGAACAATCACATAGTTACTGCAAGGCAACGTTTCAGAGTTTCGCAGGGCCCCTTCATCAGGGGTCACATTGACCCTTATTGGTGATCCTCGGTGTGCTGGTGACAAATATGGGTCCTAAAGTTTTAGTGAACGATTGCATAGTTACAGCAAGGCAACGTTTCGAAGTCTCGCAGGACCCCTTCCTCAGGCATGTGACCAATCAGGTCACATGCCTGATGAAGGGGTCCTGCGAGACTCTGAAATGTTGCCTTGCTGTAACTATGTGATCGTTGATTAAAACTTTTGGACCCATATTGGTGATCCTCGGTGTGCTGGGTGAAATTCTCCCATGTGGCAAACAGAGACACACAACAGAAAGGTTGAGTCAATTTTTAACCATTTTAGCTGGTTGCCAGAGTGTTTTCTATTTTGTCAGCACCTGTTAATTGATAGAGGTGAGATTAATTACAAATTACAGGAGCATCACAAACTTGGAATGCAATTATTTCTTACAAGGTGCCAATCATTTTATCCAGTCCATTTTTGGGGTTTTGTGTGGACTGGATCAGATTTGGCTTTTTATTTCTCCACTTTTTTGTGTCTTACAAAAGAAATAACATGAGAATGCCGAAACATTTGTAATTGCAACAATTGTCTGGGTGAAGTGGTGCATTATCTGACAAACTAGTCAACATAGGTGTTAGGCGAGTGTGTTTTTTAAGGCTAGTTTGGTTTAAGATTCCACTTTAAAAGCCCTGTTTAAAACGTTAAGCCCCCTTCACACCTAAGCATTTCGTTGCACGATTTGCAACGCGTGTTAAGTTGAAGAGTCCCTTGATTCCCAATGGGTCTATTTACACCTGAACATTGTGTTACCTGTTGCATGAAGCTTGACAAAGTATATGTGCTTCTATCTTGCAGAATTATGCGTATTGGCCTCATTGACTTTAATGGGAGCACCTGAAAAACTTGCATAAGCCTTTGGAGCCAAATATGCATGATTTTGCATGAAGTTTTTACTAACAAAACAAAGTCACCTGCCTAAACTCATGTCTAGTGTGAATGGGGGTCTGAAAGCCAATTTCCAGTCAGATATTCCCCTCTAAGTCCAGTGCTGTTTCAGGGTGCTGGCGGGGAACGACACTCATCTAGTGCTGCAGCTGTGCTTGCCCTGGCTGTCCCCCAACAGTCCCATCACACAGTCATCATCGGTACAGACTCTTCTTTTTGGTCTTTAGAGGGCCCTGTCGCTTGAATAGCCAATGGGAAGTGTCCATGTCATTCAGGCATTTATGTGGACACCAGAAGGACCCTGTCCTGTAAATGGAAGAAGAGAGAAGTCTCCAGACTGGAGAGTCATGTGACTGTCAATTCAGGTAAGTATGAAGGACATGTAGGCCTCATTCATACAGACGCTGAATGCTTGTACACCGTGAACTGGTCATTTGTGGCCAGAGCTTCAAAGTGGTGCTGCAGGCAGCCTTTGCAAGTCTGTGGGGATGCAGGGGCTGCTGTATTATTTATTACAAGTATTTATATAGCCTCAACAGTTTACTCGATGCTTTACATATTGTACAGTCGCATCAGGCACTGCCCTCAGGGCCAGTGCACACCAGAATGCGCTGGGGGAAACTTGCTTTCAAAACTCATTGCACTTGTGATCTGTAAAGGGTGTCAATGCAATGCTAACGTGCCCCCCCCCCCCCCCCCAGTGCATTTACATGCATTGGATCACTTGATACAGAAGTGCCTGTGATTGGGTTGCTCTGCCTTTTGTAAAGTATTGCATGTGTACTAATATAGAAAAACAATAATAACGTGCATAATTAAAAACAAAACCTATACATATCTACAATAACA